GTGCTGGCGTGGGGGCAGGGTAGCTCGGTTTGTGTGGTTTCTTCTGGTGGGCCCGCACAGTGGGTGCTGTCCGCTTGTTCAGAGCGCCTCATTATCTCAGGGGCGGAGTTTCCATTCCACCTGGTAATCGTAATCGGTGTAACAACGAGGGTCATAGCGGTGCCCACCAGCATGTTCTGCGGTATCGCCAGGCCGACTATCAGGCAGATGTTTATCAGCCAGCGCGCATGTCCCCTCAGCTCCGGTATGAGATTTAGCCCTTTATCTATAGTGGGGATACTGATCGCCAGAATGGGGGCCATCGGGGCTGCTGTGGCGAGATGTAGGCATAACATGACCAGCGCGGCCACTGACACTATCATCTGTCTAATCACCCCCGGGTGTTGGTATGCCCAGTAGCTGGTGTCAGCAGTATGGGCCACACAGGCGAGAGCGAGGTCGATGGCTGCTGGTATGGCGCAGGTAGTTATTCGTTTAGTGAAGTGTCGAATTACCCAAATCAATCCTGTCGTCTGCACTACCAGGGAGATTGCAGTGTCCAGGGGCCATATCGCTATCACGAGTGCTAGGGGGCCCCAAAGAATAATCATGAGTAGAACTGCGTTACTAGTCTGAGGTATTATTTTCCACATGTTCATACCTCGGCGAGTGGTGGTTCTGTAAATCTTACGAACGGTACACAGGACTCCCATGCTCGCTACAGCCATACAGACAATGAGAGCGATTACGGCAAGCACGTACCGAGTGCCTGTCCAGGCTGTACAGGCACTCCGGTACAGACGTCCGTAGATGGCCCTAGCTGTAGATGCCGCAATTCCGCCCGGGGAGTGTGTGCTAATGTTGTCCCCAATCGATGTCGCCAGGAGTTTCTGAGTGCTGCGAGATATAATTCTCGAGTGGCCCTGTTGATACGAGGTCTCGCCTGCTCTGTTGCCCCATACCTCTTTCTCCGAACCTGTGCTTGGGTGCGCATTGTCTGTACACCCTGCCTTCCAGTTGTCTCTCAAGGTCCTACGGCCGTCAGTTTCACGAGTGCTATGGTGTGCTAGAGTTTGGTTGTGGGTTACAACAGGTTCAGAGTTGCAGCCATACTGCGTCTCTGCAGGTTGCAGGGGACCCTCACAGGATACCGGCTTGTGTTCCCCCCCTATCCAGCCCTTGATCGAGTCACACACATCAGATTGCCAAGCTATACTACAGTGCATCTCCTTGACTAGCGCATCTGTCCGGCGCGGGCCGGCGTGTAGGTTTGGGCGAACATGGCAATTACGGTGTAGTAGGGTGATGTGTTGGTCAGACAGTTGGCGTGTAGTGCTTATTGTTACGCCCTGATGGCTGCCCAATATCGGCCGGCCTTGAAAGTGGCCAGGAACTACCGCCATGTTCTTGTAAGCTGTATACTGGTGTTGATTTGTACAAGTATATTGGCTCGCCTTGCACTTCGGATGGCACCTCCTTTGCGTCGCTCGTGCTTTGTCGGTACGAGTTCTGTTGGTATGATTTTTGCGGTGAGTCTCGTTTTGGTGTGTTATAATCTGAGCATTTGATATACTACAGAATTTTGTATCGTGTTTGGTTATTAGTCGACAGGATGGTGGGGGCGACTTTGTGTTCTTTGCAGTCAGGGGTCTTAGGTCCTGTGGCCCTATCTCCCGAGAATGTATCGGGTCTATATGGTAGTGCTGGTATGGAGCTGGAAATTGATTCCGTTTACGGTCTGCCGCGTTGAGGGTCTGCCATGGTGGGTCACCGGTGTGACAGTCTAAGGGCACTGCCGTCTTTCCTATAAAGTATTTTAGTACCCAGGCATCCTTGATCTGTGTGTTATAATGGGCTGGGGGAGCGTTCCAGGGGCGGTTGGCTTTGCAAAGATCAGAATGCGGAGCCCTGGGTGTAGGCGAGGGCTCAGGGCCCCTTGCTGTAAGTATGCCCGAGTCGCCTGGGGGCAAGTAGTGTTTTCCAGTCGTTGTATAGCTGCCAGCTCGTGGATTGCCGACCATTTTGGACAGAAAGATTCCGCTGATGTGCGAACTCGAGCTACCGAGCCATTGCCATTGTTTCAGAGGATTCATATTAGAGCATATCCTACGCGCTTGATTGTTCTGGCATATCAGTATGCCGGTGTCTTGTTCGCCCAGCATATTGGTTCGGGTGGATCTGTCACGGAGTTCCTGTGGTGCGGTTGTTTTCACAAGGCTAACCGATCTTGGTTGCGCTATGTTACCCATAGACTTCGGCCTGGGGTCAAGCAATGGTGCGTAGAGCAGGCCGGTCCGAACCGAGCCCTTAAGCTCATCCATTGCCCCCTCCTCAGTCATGGAGCGGCCATCGGCGCCCAAAAGAAACACGGTTAGAACAAGCAATACGAACGATTGCATGGTTGCCTGCAAACCGTGCTTACCGCGAAGTGCACAACTTACTTTCACTCCCCCAGAGCGGCTTGACTAGGCGCGTAGTTGTAATTTATATAATTGTTTTTTCCAGGTTTTGCAGGTTTAAGACCCTAGCACTGGCCAAGGCAACAGCATTTAAATGCCGTTATGGTGTTGTCCTAGGCATCATTTTTTTATGTATTTGCCAGTTTTTTTCCTGGCTGTTATTTGGTGGCTAGGCATCAAGTTGGCTGATCAACAGGGTCCTGTTTATCATGACAAGCTTGGCATTAGTTGTACCACCTAATTAGTTTAGGTAAGCAATTACGAAGATAATTATCCAACGATAAAAGGTGGTATTGATAAATACCGTTTGGTATTGAAGGATTATTTATTGTTCTTGGATGTACCGTTGGTAAAACAACCGTTGGCCCGGTGACCCAAGGGCCGCCTTAGCGGTGTTACACCAAGCCCCGCCATACTGATCACTATCGTTTACACCAGGCGAAATTTGTTGAACTGCTCTCTTAGCAAAAACATGCTTGTCTTTTGACGAGCAAATCGCAAAAGTTTGGGGGAAGG